TGTATGTAAGTCAGAACTGGTGGTCAGTTTCAGCAGCGGCTGAATCTGGACGCCAGTTCCGACTTACATACAGATTCAACTTCAGAACAAACCTACAGTCCCTATCTTGTACGTAACCCGGGGACTGCCTGTATTCTGCAATTACTTTTACGTACTCTTGTGGATGCAAGGGTTGGGTAGTTATAAAGACAGATAAGTAAAGAACACAGCACATTTACCCTTTTTTAACCACTAAAGCTATCGGATCCATCTTAAGGGATACATATACAAAACCCTAAAGCAACTGGTCATCAGATAGCAAAAACCACCTCCCAGGAGGAGAGGGCAGGGCTCTTTTCCCAACCCCTTTAGAAGTGTTACCTAAGTTTGGCTATGTCTACACTGCAGGGATCTATCGGAAAAAGCTACGCAAATTACATTCCGATATTTGTATAGCTTTTTCTGATACTTTTTTCGGAAGGGGCTTTTCCAAAATGTGGCCCATCTACACTAGGGCAAATTTCAGAAAAGCCTCCTCTTTCGGAGGAGCCCTTATTCCTTGTGGAATTAAGAATACAGGACTTCCTGAAAGAGCGCGTTTGCTTTTCCACAAAAAAAGCGGAAGAGCAAACGCGTTTCCTGGATGCCATGGGGGTTTTCCAGAATCCCAGAGGTATCCCGGAAAAAATCTGCAGTGTAGACATAGCTATATGTGAGTGTTTGGGGACATGTGGGATCTTCCCAGCTGCTCCAGCACAGAAAGATAGGGTGTGGGCCTGTAATCAAACAAAAGGCCAGATGTTCAGCTCAGAAAAGCTCATAGTTCCATTGAGATCATTGTAACTCACCATTTTACACCAGATGAGGTGCTTGGGGAAGGAGGGGTATTTTCAAAAGCACAAAGGGTCTTTACAGACATAATTCCAGTTAAAAGTAAGTGTGAAGTAGGCACCTAACTACCATCTTTGAAAATTTCTCCCTCTGTCCCTAAATCTAAGGACTTAAAACGAGGCATGAGTGAAGCAAAAGGAAAAGGATAACTCCTAATATTTTCTGAACTAGCTTGCCTCTGGCTAGTGTAAGTACTAGGAGCTAGCTCACCAGTGCATTGCAGCCTGTGTTGTAAATTACAAATCGGAATGATAATGTTTAACATTCCCATTGCATTGCTGGAATCAAGCTTCAGCAGAGCATGGGTGCCCTACATCAGAATGGCCATGAATTTTTTCCCTTGACATTCATGAGTCAACTAATACAATGTCAAGAGGATGCCAGATACGCTTCCATTCACAGTGGAGCTGGGAATAAGGGATCTGGCTGCTGAAATCATAACTATCCACTGACAAAATCCCATGAGTGCATTGCAGAGGTTAACAATGCCCTGAGGCTGTAGTAACAGCTACTGAATGGTCCTGTTACTTCTCTGTCCAATTCCATGAACTTCCACTCTGTGCAGCCCATTTCTGACTTTTCTTGTAATCTAGAGCTTCTATCTAGGCCTCATATCAGTAAAAACAGCTTCCTTTTTGTTACAATTGGTGTTTTTCCTCAGGAACAATACGGATACTCTCCTTTCAAAGTCCATTTCATAGCCCATAGTCTTGGAGCACATGCTGCTGGGGAGACAGGAAGAAGAAGGCCAGGCATTGGAAGAATAACTGGTAGGTTAATGAATTACTCCTCAGTCTATAGCAATGAAGAATTTCAAGAGAACAGTATTAAATCTTAACGTTACCTTGCATTTTTTAGGAACTACTACAGTATCTGACTGACGGAAAACTGTAATGAATTGGGGGTGTGCACTTGTGCATGAGTGTGTGGTGTGTGTGCCCTTGCCCTCTACAGGATGGAGTAAGAGCAATACAAATCTATCATAGCCTTATATTGCTAACAATCAAATTGCGCTCTTTTCCAGTAACACCATGCCACCCTCAGGAAGGGATTACACATAAGGATTCCTTCAGTGTGGTGTTCCTTTAGGCCCCCTGCACAATATCCCCAAGAATTCAGGGCTGAATTTTTCCCTAAGAATCCCTGCATGAAGTGGATTCTTGGGGACAAATTGGGCAGGAGATGGTAAGCTGCATGGAACAGTGATCTCTCCTAGCATCTCATCTCTAAGATATGACTGTTCTCTGATCCATACAGCAGGTTATCTTTTTTCACCTGTGCTATAAGGATGATCCCAAGGGGCATGGACTGTTAAGTAACAGACTAACACGGCTACCCCCTGAGGCTTTTATTCTGGCTTGGTACATCATGACTCTGTGGCATACCACCTGCCACCAACACTGCTCAGTGCAAGTGCACAACAACCAAAATTTATTCGGCAGATGTTGCCTGAGCCAGTTTTAATGGGTCTGATTGTTTCCGAAGCATTCGCCCATTATAACAATTCCAGTTTGATGTGGCTAGTCCCACATTCCTAATCCTGGCAGTTTTACTCCGACTGTTCCCTTCTCTCATTAATCCAGTTTGTTGTGCAGGTGCAGCAGTATGTCCAGTATTTCAGATCACCAACTATTTAGAGGCCCAGTGTAGGGGTGCCCCCCCCCCCCGCGTGGGGGGCGG